GATCATCAGCAGGGTGAGAGTGGGGCTGTGGGACGTGCCTCCCACCGGCTGTGGGGTGGGCTGTGGGGCAGGGACAAGTCCTGGGCAGGGTTTCCCTACTCACCGGGGGATGCATGGGGATGGGGGGCTCTGTTACATGGCCCAGCCCCTCCTGATCACCCCTTTACCCCATATGGGCACCCCCCACCCAGCCCCATGGTGGGACCCCAGATGATTCCCCCTCCTGGCACCTGCTCGGATGCTGCCCATTGGATGCAGATGGGTGTCCCCAGCGTCCTCCAAGCATGTCCCCACAGGCTTCTCTCCCCGGGACTGGCAGTGTCCCTGGTGGCACAGCTCCTCAAGGCTGGCTCTGAGGTCACCCTCCTTGTCCCACCTGAGTCTGACATGTCCCTTGCGGTCACAGAGGACCACCCTTCCTGCCTGAGGGACATCTCGTGCCCCCCAACAAGACCCTGCCAGCATTTGCCTGCACTCCCACTGCCTGATAGCCACAGATACACAGCAATGAGTCCGGGGCCCCAGCTGGGCACAGCTCCAATCTTTTAACCAAGAAAGCGGACATGCCACTGCTTGGGGTCCCCCTTGGTCCCCTCCCGCTGGCGAGCAGGGCCCTGTCGCTGCAGCCACAGGTAAACCCCTTGCCTGCTTGTCCTCTCAGCTGAAGCTGGACGAGGTGAACAGCACGGCTGCCCAGCACCGCCTCCGCGCCTTCCTGGAGGACCTGGTGGAGATGGAGAAGGTTCTCCGTGACGTGGACATCCTCTCGGCGCTGGCCAAGCTGCTGCCCAGGGGAGCCTGCGCCAGCAAGGCCCCGCCACCCACTGCCAACAGCACCGGCTGGGCTGGCACCAACGCCACAGCCGGCAACGCCACAGCGGAGGAGGAGGGGGCTGGGGGGGGCCCGGCCATTGGCGACAACCCCCAGGGGCAGTTCTCAGCATTCGTACAGCTCTGGGCTGGGCTGCAGCCCATCCTCTGTGGCAACAACCGGTAGGAGCCCCGGGGGACGGAGGGGGACAGATCCAGGTGCTCTCTGGTCAGGACAGGGGTGCGGGAGAGCTCACCCTGCCTCTGCCAGCGGTCAAGGGCCCCAGTCATCCCTTGATGAACACACAGGAGATGGATGCTGCACCGCATCCTTGTGCCATGGCCGGGAGAATCTCCCCGTGCTGGGCAGCACCACACTGGCATGGGAGTCGGTGTGAAATCCCCCCACGGGCAGGGGTGGGGGCTGCCTGCAGTGAGGGGTGCTGGGGCTGGGGTGGAGTTGGCAGCCTGAGCCCCCTTTGCAGGACGATCGAGCCTGAGGCGCTGAAGCAGGGCAACATGAGCTCGCTGGGCTTCACCAGCAAGGAGCAGCGAAACCTGGGCCTCCTCGTGCATCTGATGACCAGCAACCCCAAAATCCTGTACGCGCCCGTGGGCACTGAAGTGGACAAGGTCATCCTGAAGGTGAGGGTGCAGAGGCCGGGACCCCCGTCCTTCCTCTCCCACCAGCCCCACTCCGCAGGGACCTCCTTGCCCAGATGGGCTCAGAGGGGCCAGAGCTGAGTGGGAAGGGGCCAGCTGCTAGCCAGCGCTGCCAGAAGCAGGCAGCTGCCCTCGCCCTTGTTGGGGTAGCGATGCCTGCTGGGAGGTGGGCAGATATTTCCATGGCTGCTAGCCATCCCAGAGAGCAGGGGGGCCCCTGCCTCTTCCCGCTGTGTGACCTTCCTCACCCAGGCCAACGAGACCTTCGCCTTTGTGGGCAACGTCACCCACTACGCCAAGGCGTGGCTGAACATCTCCCCCGAGATCCGTGCCTATCTGGAGGAGGGCAGGCTGCAGAGGCGCATCCGCTGGCTTCAGCAGGTAGGATCATAGAATCGTAGAATAGTTTGGGCTGGAGGGGACCTTTAAAGGTCATCTAGTCCAACCCCCCTGCCGTGGGCAGGGGCATCTTCAACTAGATCAGGTTGCTCAGAG